AACTTCTCCCATAGCTGCTATCCATTATTCAGGGGAACTTCAACTTCTTGGGCCCCAGTATGAAGTGAAGAAATTGTACTAGATAATCTCCCTAAAGCCCTTTGTGTCTAAAGCAGTGGTTCTCAACCTTCCTAATGCCGCGACCCTTTAATACAGTTCCTCTTGTTGTGGTGACCCCCAATTTCATTGTTACCAATTGAACAAAATTAAAGCATAGTGATTAATCACAAAAACAATATGTAATTATATATGTGTTTTCCGATGGTCTTAGGCGACCCCTGTGAAAGGATCGTTCGACCCCCAAAGGGGTCACGACCCACAGGTTGAGAACCGCTGGTCTAAAGGTTTCCTATGATAGAAAAGAATGATCTCTTGGCAATGAGTGTTTTCTGCTCGCCAGAGGCTACCAGAATGTTACAGTCTTTGGGCTTGAATGCAATGCTCTTAGGTATGATTTTTAAGTGTTGTGCTAAAACTGAATTGCATAATTACTCAAAATTCTGGACCTAGATACTCTATTCCTCAATGAAATGTAAAAAGAACCTTAGTTTTGGTATTTGCGGGGAAAGGGGGAAGAAGGGGAAGGAGTGTGAGTGTGTTTGCTATACATACTTCACTGTCTCCTAACAAGAAGGCTATTCTATTCAAATGTATTCAGAAGCCCCAGACGTCCATCAAACCAGAGGCAGTTTCTTTTCTTTTTAAATATACAGTAATACTGGTGTTTTATTTCTTCTCCAACCCACTCTTTGGTTTCTACAAAACCATTCTCTTTAGAAACTAAAATTTCAGTGTTGTAACAAAAATCTGCTGAGACAGGGTTTCTCCTACCACAAGGGTTCAGAGTTTCTGTTATCTGTGCCAATAACTCACCTTCTTCCCTCCCCCACATGCTTGAGGGTGGAGACTGACAGATAGTAAACGCCTTGGCAATGAATAAGTAACTTTTCCCCCTTATCTCTCAAATACTTAAGCTCATAAAAACTTCATCGTTGATTCTGTAAAAACATTTTAAAGAATTTATTGAAGTAGAATTCACATAACACAAAATTAACCATCTTAAAGTGAACAATTCAGTGACATTTAGTACATTCATAATGTTGTACAACTGCCACTTCTGTCTAGTTCAAAACATTTCCATTACTTCAAAGTAAAAATCCCTTTCATTAAGTAGTTTCTCCCTATTCCTCCCTCCCACTACCCCCTGATAACTACCAATGTGCATTCTGTTTCTGGAATTATCTATTCTGGTTACTTCATATAAACAGAATCATATGTAACCTTTTGAGTCTGGCTTCCCTCAGGTAGTTTTTGAGGTTCATCTGCACTGTAGACTGTATCAGCACCTGATTCCTTTTTATGGCTGAATAATATTCGGCTATATATGTACACCAGTTTTATATCCAGTCATCTGTTGATATACACTTAGGTGGTTTCCCTTCTTGGCTGTTTTGAATAGTGCCGCAATCAACAGGCATCCACAAGTGTGTTATTGAGTACCTGTTTTTAATTTGGGGGAATACATACCAAGAAGTGGAATTGCCAGGTCGTGTGGTAATTCTTATTTTAACTTTTTTTGAGGAAGCACCAAACTTTTCTGTAGAGGCTGAGCCATTTGACAGTCCCATCACCAATGTCTGAGGGTTCCTATTTCTCCATAGCCTTACCAACGTTTGCCATTTTTAAAATGATAGCTCATCTTTGGTTCTGAATGCTGATTTCTACCTGTTTCTCAAATCTGATGATCCTCCTTTTGGTAATTCCCTGTGATTAGTCCTGTAATTAAATCAGATAGCCACAGGTTATTTCTGTTCTCTTACTGAGCCTTCCTCCTCTCTAACCTTGTAGCTCCCAAGGAAGCCTTTATCAACTTAAGCTATTTTCCATTCCTCTTCATGCTAAGTTTTTATATTCCCTTCACTAATCTCCTTGCCTCCTTCCCACAATAATACCAGGTAATTTCCTGATTAACTGACAGCGCATATACATAAGTAATACTAGGCCACAAACCTTAGCTCAAGGTGCTTTGAAGGTGGAAGTAGTTAGTGGTGGTTGGTGGTGGTGAGAGATGAGTAGGGACTGAATGATATCTCTCAAGGGCGGGGACCATGTCTAATTCATGTTTTTATCTCTTTAACTCCTAGAGAAGTTTGCTATCATTAAAGATCTCTGAAAATTTTAAAAAGATCTCTGGAAATTTAAGAAGGGGTGACAGTGGTACAATTTTCCCCTCTAGTAATCTCTTACATACACTGACATTTAAAACTTTTGCTCCAATGTGTCTCACTCTGTTAGTCAACGTTAGAGATTCAAAATGTTAGCTAGGGATAAGTGGATCCAAGGAAGTCTCTTTTGCTGGTAGCTAAATGCCTACAGGTACTGATGAAGGTCGTGTTCTGGGGCTATATTCATGGCACACCTAGAGATAACATTCCATATTTCATAGTGAGTCCTATGTGGCTAAAGATGATCTGATATGCCCACATAGTGGAAGTACTAGAAAACTCTGGTCTGCCATGTGCATTTGTGGAAAAGTGGCTGTAATCACTAAATTCTTTTGTCTTTACCAGAAATAAATGCCACTTCATCATATTAGAAGTAATTGGAGATGACAATGTAATTTTAGTCTTAAGAAAATTTTGGGATTGTTCTTAAAGATGATATAAAATTGGATTTCTTTACAGGTGCCAAAGACCGTTCTGAGATCTATGAAGCATTTGAAAACATCTATCCCATTCTAAAGGGTTTTAAAAAAGCCTGAGTAGTATATCACTCAGTATCTCAAAGTATATTGATGAGTATGTGCGTAAGTCCAGGACAGAAACAACTGGATTTTTCTACCTTTAATTGTAGATGTTCCATGCACATTTTGACTTATTAAAAGGTGATTCTATGTGAAATGAAGAAAACTTCTTATTTGAAATGACTCTTGTATGTTATTTTTAAAACAAGTAAACTTATTTCAGAATGTGAGAGATTTAAGGCCTTGCTAGAATGATTTTGTAGCATCATTAAAATTTAATGTTCTGCTCTGGTTAAAGATGTAGAGCATAACATGTCCTCTGAAAATGCATGGTGATATATAGAAATTTCAAATAACTGCATAAAATAGATACTATCTGTAATATCTAGCAGGAGAGAAATCAATGTGTCTGTTTTTTGCCTTTAAAAATATTGATTAAATGATCCTAGCTATCAGGTACAGGCACTGTGAAGGATCCTGTCAGAATACAAATGAAACGAAAGTCTGAAACCTTGAGGAAAATCACATTTTTTTTTTTGAAATGATCAGAGAAAATTCTCTCACGTAAAAATAAATCTTAAACTTTCAGGAACTATTCAGATTTAGTGTAAGCTCTATTTTGAAACAGCATGGGGAATTTTTGCTTTTTGTGTGCCTTTATAATCCTACTAGAGGCCCAGTGCATGACATTTATACATTGGGGGGAAGGGGTCCCTCCACCCAGCCTGTGCCCTCTCACAGTCCAGAACCCCTTGGGGGATGTCCACCTGCAGGCTTAGGGAAGCGGGCCTAAGCTGGCAGGCAAACGTCCCCCAAGGGGTTCTTAGCACTGCTGCTGAGGCGGGAGAGGCTCCTGCCAACGTCGCCAGCCGTGAGCCCTGTTTCTGGCTGAGTGGCGCTCCCCCTGTAGGAGCTCCCTGACCACCAGAGGGCAGCTCCTGCATTGAGCATCCACCCCCTGGTGGTCAGTGCACATCATAGCAACTGGTCGTTCTGCCATTTGGTTGATTTGCATATTAGGGTTTTATTATATAGGATTGTGTTAAAAGAGATCAGATAAGACTAAGAGGATGGAACAAAGGGTTTAGATTCAAGACCTAATTAGTTTGTGGAGTCATCAGCATTTGATGGAGATGCGGAGGTTAACAGGGAGGGAAAAGGCTAACATGACTCATAGCCCCAAGTGGTAGTGATTATGTCTTTCCCAAGAGGAGGAAACAGATTTGTGAGGAGAGCGAGTTGGTGGCCATGGTACATCATTGCTGCCTAGCTGGCAGTTATGAACCTCTAGGTGTGGAACTTGGGAGGGAAGTCCCTGCTAGCGAGAGAATTTAGGGCAGTTATCAGTTGACAACCTCCCAAAATAATCCTTGGGAATCACTGGTCTAGATAATTTGACCTCTACGCCCACTTTTCTTTTTTCCTTCTGTGGTTTAGGAGCATATTCAAACACTAATTATGCTGTTAACAATCTTATGACCCACCTTATTTACCCCTCCCTGAAAAAGAAACTGGGAGTAATCCTATTTAGGTTATTTTCTATCTAGTTCAAATTCTTTCTCAGAGCATGGCCCAGACAGAGTGGATAGGGGAGGAATGTTGGCCATTACTTTAAAATGATCCTTTCAGAAAGATACAAAGGTGACTTCTACGTTCAGTAGTGTGGCTGTTTCCACTGGCTAGCTATTTGTAAAATATTCTCAGATTATTAAACGTGTTCGCTTAGTAATTCTCACGATGCTGGTTAGGTAGGTACTTCTCCATTAAGCAGATGAGAACACAAGCCAAGAGAGGTTTGGAATCTGCCCCAAATCACACAGCCATTAAGGAAGTGGGTGAGCCACAATGAGACCTCATTCCAAGACCCAGCCCCTTCACCAACCTTGTTTGGGGTCGTTTTAGCCAAATTTTAAAGCATCAAGCGAATTAAAGGAAGTCCCTTATTTTGTTCCCAATCCGTTTTCCCAGACTCCTTGGGGCATCGTATGACTGACTATTTCTGGCACAAGTTAGAGACGTAAATCTGTGGCCTTGGCACGATGCCGCGAGGATGACATTTTGTTGGCCGACTCGCCCCTCTAACAGAACTTCTGCTTCGGGACACGCCGCCCCTCCGCGGACCGGAACGGCAACGGCGCCCCGCCCTCGGGAGGCGGGGCCAGGGTCTCGCCGGGACCCCCGCCCGCGCTCCTGGCGCCTCCCAGGCCCCGCCCCCTCGCCCAGGATGCATCTGGTTGAAAACAAAATCCCACGTGACTGGCTCCGCTCTCAGGGTATCATGGCGGCTCCCAGTGGGAAGGGAGCCCGGGCGCCGGAGGCTCCGGGCTGCGGGCCCCGGCCGCCTGCCCGGGACCTGGTGGACTCGGTGGACGACGTGGAGGGGTTGTACGTGGCGGTGGAGCGGTGCCCGCTGTGCAACACCACCCGCCGGCGGCTGACCTGCGCCAAGTGCGTCCAGAACGGCGACTTCGTCTACTTCGACGGCCGCGACCGTGAGAGGTACGGCGGCCGCCACGGCCCTATTGTCTCTTCCCCGGGCGGCTCCTCGGCTCCGGGCTGGCGGCTGGAGGCTGGAGCCCGAGGCCCAGGTCTGGAGCCCGGACTCCCGCGAGAGGAGGGGGAGCTGGGGAGGGGAGCTGCTTTGCTCCCAGGGAACGGGGTCGGGATCGGGGGCTAGATGGGGGAAGGTCGCCGTTTCCCCATAACCCACCCGAGAGGAGCCTTGGGCCCCCCCCTGTGCTTTGGGAAAGGGATGGACGGTGACTGGAGAGGTCTCCCCCTGTTGCTGCCTGAGAGTTGTAGTCTCAGCTCTTTGCTGCACTCCCATTCAAAGCTTGGTTTAACCTTTCTCTGTCTGAAAATACACTCATCCTCTAGGAGAGATCAGAAGAGAATCAATCAAGTAAGTGGTTAAGGAGGGATTAGGGCCCGGGAAGCCTGTGTCGCAGCTGGACCTTGTTATCAGACATGCCTGCTCCCTTGTGAACTGGGACTAGCTAGTTGCTCCTTGGTTGTTTTGGAGACTAAGGAGTTTGGGCATGTGTTTTGGCCTTGTTTTCAGCCGTGAGTTCAGAGAATTAAATTTAGGAACAAGTTTTGAAATCAAAACAGAGCTACAAGTCCTTGGTGAAGGTAATTGAAGAATTCGTGTGTTTAGTTGAAGGGTCTCTCTCCCAACTTTTATTTCACTAAGGTAAGCTAACTTTTCTATTGCAAAAGTTCAGGCAGTAATTCACTTAATCCAAGAAGTTATTATCCCCAACTTACTGCTGAGTAAACTGCATGGTAAGTGCCCTCCCCTAGGGCACATAGTTGAGTGTAGGGACCAGAATGAATATCCAGACATCCTGAACTCTTATACCACGCATTTAACCACCAGTTTGAACAGCCTTTATATTTGGATTATATTTGGAAATGTTTTGAGTTCCTAGTTTTCCTCTGATCATGAATGGAGTTTGGTTCTTTTTTCCCCCCCTGCTTTGAGATTTGTAGAATATAATTTTTTTCTTTCATTGCCGTGTTCCATGGATGCATTTGATGACTTTAGAAACTGACCTAATAAGTGATAGCTTTAAAAATTAAAGCAGTTTTTTAATTTTAAGAATACTAGGTATGAGACGGGAATGTCAAACTGGTGGAGTTTCTGAAGGGTTCAGTTCTGGATCTTCTATCTGTATATTTTCCTACATCCATTCTCATGACTTAAATACCACCTATATGCTGAAGACTGCCAGACTAGATCCAAACCAGACCTCTCTGGAATCTAGAAAACAGCTGCCTGCCCAACATCTATATTTAAATTTGTAATAAGTATCTCTATCTTGGCAAACTGAAGTTATTTTCCAATATAAATCTGTTCCTTCCATGCTCATGCCAAACTCAGTAAATGGTAACCTCATTCTTCTTTGGTAACAGGACAAAAAACAGTCTTCCTTGACTCCTCTATTAATGCTACCCCATCTAATCCCATCAACAGATTCTATCCACTCTTCAAAAGCTATCCTAAGCTTGACCCTTTCATCACTACGCTGATCCACCAAAGGAACAATGCCTCACGAGCCTCTGCCTCCGCCTTTGCTTCCTTATAGTGTTATTTCCATATTGCAACCAGAGTAACACCACTCCTCCATTCCTCTCTGAAAGCTTCCAGGATTTCAGAGTAAAAAAGCTGACGTCCTTAATCAGAGTTCTGCATTGTCTGTTCTCCTCTGTTCTATTATTTTCCCCTTACCGACTCTGCTTTACCACCTGGCTTCTTTGCCAGTCCCCAGACTCACAAAAAACACTTCTGCCTCATGGCATTGCAGTCTTTTTCACACTGCTGGGAGCTCTTCTCCCCAAAATAGTCAGGGCTGCCTTTGTTTCCTTTAGGCCTCTGCTCATTAGGGAAACTCTTTGACCACTCAATTAAAATGGTCCCCTCCTTTCCCAGGTGACCTGCTTTATTGGCTTACGTAGCAATTATCTCCATCTATGGCTGACATGTTATTTTTGTCTAACTGCCCTCCACTCCAAAGATGTAAGCTCTGTGAGGGCAAGACTTGACCAGTTTTGTACTCTCCCATGTCCTCACATAGTAGAGGATAAGATTGCAAGATTTGTTGAATGACTGAATGGATCTACCTCTCTTTCCCAAACTGTCTGATCCTGAATCATTTCCTTTTTATCCTTCGTGGTAATCCCTTTGTTAGTAAGCCAGACGCCTGGGAAATCTTTCATGTATCCAAATAATTGGCAAGTCTAATTTGATTTGCTCTAAAATAGATCTTGAATTTGTCTACTTCTAGTCCAGACTGCCTTCACTTCTCTCTTGGCTACTTATTGGTTTCCTTTTTTTTTTTTTAACTCTACAACTTCTCCCCAGCCTCTCTGGCCAGCACACAACAGCCCCTGTAGAAAAGTAAATCAGATAACGTTATTGTTTTGCTTAAACCTTTCAATGACTTTCCATTGAGCTTAAAATTCAAAAAGTTAATTAATTAAAAAGTAAAGCCAACCTCCTTACCATGGCATATAAAGCCTCACGTGAGTTGGCTATTGCTTATCTTTAACTTTGGCTATAAGGCTGAGTTAAAAATGTAGGCTTCGGGTTGATACTGCATTGAATTGAATCCAAGCTCCCCACACTTGCTATGTGATTTTGAACAAGTTAACCTTGCCTATGCTTGTTTATTTCATTTTGAAAATGGTGGGGTTTCTGGTAGTGATTACATGAGAGGATGCATTAAACTACTTAGCATGAAGTCTAGCATATATTAAGCATTCAAATATAAACTCATGCTATTCATGCTTAAATCGTCCAGCACATTCAACTTTTTCACCACTGGGCTCTTCCCCTTGCTGTTCCCTCTGCCTGGAACACTTTACCTCCTGATTGGCATCTTGTCTTTCTGTGTTAACTTTAATGTTCCTTTCTTAGTGAGGCTTCCCTGACCTTCACTAAGGTAGATTCACACTTCCATCTCTCCCCCCGTTATTCCCTGTCACAGCACTCAATGCCGTCTGGTACTGCGCATGATGTGTAATGTTATTTATTTGAGGAGGAGCTCTGCATCCACAATGTAGTTTCATGAGGACATGAATTCTGGTTTTGTTCAATCACCACCAGTATTTTGCACAGCAGCAGTGGAGCACACAGTAGGCATATTGTTGAAGGAATGATAAAAGGCAATAAACCTTTAAAAAACAATTTTTTTTCCTAAATCTGAGCATTAAAGTGAATTTTCAGGAGAGGGGTGTGTTCTAGTGGTTTTCTTTTTCTGACCAAGAAAAAGAGCAAATACCAGAACCATTCAAAATTGAGAGATAAAAAAGAAAATTTAGGGTTCAGGGACAAGAAGACTGCTAATAAAGTGGTCTGCTAAGCCAGCTTCATGTCACTTTTCCTTGTTCCCATTTCTGAACTGTGTATTCCTTAAGAAGAGGAGTTTGTTTTCATCATTCCCAGAACAATGCCAAATATCTGCTAGGATGAAAGAATCTCTTGAGACCCAGAACCATTGTGCTAAAAGCCAAATCATTTTTTGTGAGCTCTCACTGAATACAGTTATCTACACAAAACATTCTTGCAAGTTACAGAAGAGAAAGGCAGGTCTCTGCTCTCAAAGGATTTACACTGACTACTAGTAAGCCTCAAATTTCGGGGGTCAGAGGTTGATTGTGAGGTATTTTTAGTGTTTATGAAAGTTTTGTACTCTGTTTTGCTTTCAGACTCTTTATGAAAAACTCCTTGCTAACTGTGGGAAATCACTTGGAAATAAAATATGGAGATTTATAGCACAGTTTAAAAACCCTTGTTTAACCTCTGATTCTTTTTAGTAAATTAGCCTAATTATCTGTGCTTACATGGATCTTGAATGTGATCATGCATATTAAAGTTCTTGTAAATGTTTTGTGTGTTTTTTTAGTTTCATTAATGGACTTATCTGAATATACAGGTTTTAATAATTTCACTGGCCCAGCGTGGCTCAGTGGTTGAGCATCAATCTATGAACTAAGAGGTCATGGGTTCGATTCCCAGTCAGGGCACATGCCTGGGTTGTAGGCAGTGTGCAGGAGGCAGCCAATCAATGACTCTCTCATCATTGATGTTTCTATCACTCTCTCCCTCTCACCTCCTCTCTAAAATCAATAAAACAGTGGTTCTTAACCTTCTGGCCCTTTAAATACAGTTCCTCATGTTGTGACCCAACCATAAAATTATTTTCGTTGCTACTTCATAACTGTAATGTTGCTACTGTTACGAATTGTAATGTAAATATCTGATATGCAGGATGGTCTTAGGTGACCCCTGAGAAAGGGTCGTTCGACCACCAAAGGGGTCGCGACCCACAGGTTGAGAACCACTGCAATAAACATATATATATAAATAGTTTAACAGTTCAAGGAAAATTAGATATTAAAGACTATCTCATAATAGTTCCTTTCACAACTAAGAAGGAAGCTGTGTCTTTATATAATTTTGTAAAAAGTAAGAGTTGGTAGACAGATTGGTTGAAAAATATCTAAACACTACTTTTTTGTTGTTCAGTGGGAAGACTTCCTTATACCATGGTATTCTCACCAACACTATCCTTTCCTCATCTCTCACCTTGGCCCCAGTCCTAAGACAATACCCACTTACTTCTCCACTTTTTCACCTGCCTTTTAACTTGTGTGCTTTTTTAAGAGATGAAGAGAAGTGATTTAAGCAGGACTCCAACACAATCCTTGGATTGTACTGGTGAACATTTTACAATTACAGGTCTTTTTTAAAAAAATATATTTTTATTGATTTCAGAGAGGAAGGGTGAGGGAGAGAGAGAGACAGAAACATCAATGATGAGAGCGTATCATCAATCGGCTGCCTCTTGCACGCCCCCCCACCAGGGATCGAGCCCGCAACCTGGGCATGTGCCCCTGACCGGAATCGAACCCGGGACCCTTCAGTCCACAGGCTGACGCTCTATCCACTGAGCCAAACCAGCTAGGGCAATTACAGGTCTTTTAACAGGAATATA